TCCAGTCTAATCTTCCCACTTAGAGTCAGGCATAGAGAAGTGCCTGGTCCAAGCTGGCAGGCTCTGGCCTGGCAAACCCTGTTCTTAAGTAGTCCTGTAACACCACAAGGCTGTTATGAATTGGGGGTAGGGAGGGAGAACCCACAGAATCAGTAGGAAAGGAAGGGTTAAATGCAGGACTGAGAGGCAACTGCACCACTTAAGCAAAGTGTTACTGCACAAGCTAGAGTCAAAAAGAAGTCATGGCATTGGTGGGGGAGAAATAACCAATAAAGCTAGGTCCTCTGTAAGCCTTCAGCTGTGAGCACAACATGATGTAGTGGGCAGGGCTGGAACATACAAAGCACTTGAACTTGAAGATGTCTGTGTGTGCTTGGCTCTGTCTTACTATGTAAAATAACCTGGTCATTTAAGGGTATAGATCCAGGGCTGCGGCTGTAGCTCAGTTGGTAGAATGTTAACCTAACACATACGCAAAGCCCTCAGTTCCATCCTTAGTACTACATAAATCAGGCGCGGTGGTTCATGCCTGTAGTCTCAGCACTCTGGAGGTTCAAAAGTTTAAGGTCATCTTCAGCTACATACCAAGTTTGAGGCCAGCCTGAGCTACATAAGACCCTGTCTCAACAATAAATAGTGAAAGATGAGAAAGGTGATGATTTCAGAAATATACCAAAAGGTGGTCAGCAAGCATTTTTTTCTCTGCTGCATACAACACAGATCTGTTCACAACTTAATATAAATTCCTAGCTTTCTTCCTTATAGAGTCCTGCTTTTCCAGCTAAAAATGGAGCCCTCTGCTTCAACTTTACTAGCAACCTAACAGCCACTGGTATGAGGGGCTGGGCCAGTTTCTGCTTCGGGCTGCAGCTTGTGTGGTCAAGCCCTGCTCAAGTCACCTGCAGTGCTGGACGTCCCAGGGGCACCTAGACCCTCCCTCCACACCTGTTTCTGCACACACCACAGATTTCCCCACGTAGGCTGACTTTCCCAGACTGCATCCAGGAAACTGAGCCAGTGGTGGCTATAGAATTCCGTCTTTGCCATGCTGGTTTCTACCTGAGGTGTGTGTGAGGGTCTGAAGCTGCCTATTCCAACTTCCACAAAATGATCTCCACATAGTAACTACTGACTGGATGCCCCAGCTTAACTTACTGTCATTGTTCAGGCAAACACAGGCGTGAGGACAGGCAAACTACAGAGTGACCCAATGCATGAACCGCTTGAGACAAAAGGACTTCTGAGGTCCAAGATGAATTTACCATGACCCAGCATTCCCTGCACTAGCCAGGGCTCTGCCTGTAGGATCTTTAGTTAACTTCAGTCTTGATCAAGTTTGCAAATGGCTTGATTACACATGAGCAGCTGCAGGCCATGTCAACTGTGGCTGTTATAAAGTAGCTTTGTTGATAATGCTCCTATCAATGGCTTTGTCGTGTAAACCCAGAGTGGAACATCAGACCACTGAGCTTGCCTCTACTTACCTTGGGCATCTCCTGAGGCTCACCTGGGTAGGCTGGTAAATCTTGCACAGGCCGGCAGACTTTCTGGAATTGCACAGGCTTGCACAGCAGGTGGCTGCAGCCCTCAGGCACCTGGAGGAGGCAAAAGACACCAGATACAATGGTAGGGGGTTCTCTTTATTTAAATTTAACATGACAGGTGGTCATGTTAATTTATCCTTCTCAGCATCTCCCCTCCTGTTGACACCTCTTGGGGGGAACTTTCTTTCCCATTCCATTTGTCCTCAGAAACTGTTTAATTTTAATTACATTTGTGTATGCACATGTGTGCTGGTGCCACAGTGTATGCATGAAGGGCAGAGGGCTAGTTACAGGAGTTGGTCCTTTCCTACCACTTGGGTCCTGGGGCTCAAACTCAGGTTATTGGACAGGCATCTTTTTCCTGCTGAGCTATCTCACCAGCCCCAGGAACTATTTTTATTCTTTTAATTTGTGTCTGTGAGTACTCATATGTTCTTGCAGGTGTCCACAAAGCCAGAAGAGGGTGTCTCATCTCCTGGAGCTGGAAGTCCAAGTGGTTGTGAGTTGTCCAGTGTGGATGCTGAGAATCCGAGTCCAGTCCTCTGGAAGAGCAGCACAAGCTCAAGTGCAGCCACCGTGCCCTCTCCCCAGCTGGGGAGCCTCTCCTCCAGCTCTGGCTAGAAGGCTCCTTTCTAGCATTTGGGCCTTAGTTATATGTCATCTTCTTAGAGCTGTCCTGAGTATCATGTCTAAAGTATCCTCTACACTACCCTGCTTTAGTTTCTTCCCAACACTTACCTCTACAGATTCACCTTAGTGGTCTGGTGTGGTCTTCAGGAAGACTACAGAAACCTCACTCTCCTGGACTGCTGTGGTCCCTGTCACATTCCCTGTGTCCCCCAGCACAATGCCTGCCTACAGCAGGTGCTCTGTAAAAACCTGCTTGCTCCTTTTGTGGCAAGACCAAGATGAACAGACAGGCTGTTGGCATCTGGCACCGTGGTTCCTGCATGAAAACAGTGCCTGGTGGAGCCTGGACCTACAGCACCACCTCTGCTGTCACTGTCAAGTCTGCTGTCAGAAGGCTGAAGGAACTGAAAGACCAGTAGAAGCACTGCCGTTGGGGACATCCCCAGCCCACAATGACTGGGTTAATTTATGTAAGTAAATAAATAAAGCTTCTCAGAGAACTGTCCTTTATGGAGACCTCCTCTGTCATGTGGATGATGGGGTGCTGCCAGAATAGCAGAGGCTTGGAAACACTTGTTCCTTGATACTACGGAGTTCTGCGTGGTAACCTCAGAAATGGCTGCAGGGGCTGGAGAGCTGATGGCTCAGCAGTTAATAGCACTGGCTGTTCTTCCAGAGGACCTGGGTGTGGTTCCTAGCATCCACAAGGTGGCTAACAAACTGTCCTAACTCCAGTTCCAGGGGATGTAATGCCCTCTTTTGGCCTCTGTGGGTACTGCATGCACATGGTGCACTTACATACATGCAGTTACAAAAGAAATAATAAGCTGAGCGTGGTGGCGCACGCTTGTAGTCCCAGTACTTGGGAGGCAGAGGCAGGTGGATCTCTGTGAGTTCAAGGCCAGCCTGGTCTACATAGTGAGTTCCAGGACAGCTGGGTCTACAGGGAGACCCTGCTTCAAAAAGACAACAAAACAAAACAAAAGAAATAAGTAAATAAAAAATATATAAAAAAAATGGCTGTGGGGCTGGAGAGATGGCTCAGCAGTTAAGAACACTTCTTGCAGAAGACCTGGGTTCAAATCCCAGCACCCGCCTGGCAGCTAACAACTGTCTGTAACTCCAGTTCTAGGGGATCCAACAGCCTCTTCTGTCCTCCGTGGGCATTGCACGACACAGGTGCGCTTACCTACATGCAGGCAATACATGCATACACATAAAAAATATATATATAAAAAAAATGGCTAGAGACACGTTTTAGTTATAGTAGCCAGCTTTCTTTTCAACTGTCTTGCAAAAGAATACCAAAAAGCCATCATTCCATGTTCAGATCCTTCAGAGATATTTACAACACCACACTCATGGCTGGAGAGATGGCTCAGCAGTTAGGAGCACTCATTGCTTTTGCAGAGGATCCAGGTTTGATTCCCAGCACCCACATGGTGGCTAACAACTGTCCCTAACTCCAGTTCCAAGGGATCCGATGCCTTCTTCTGACCTCTGTGGGCACTGCACATGAAATAATAAAGATAAAAATATTTAAAAAATAAAAATAAAAACCCCACAGCACTCATGGAGTAAGGCTCATCCCACTTCACAACTTAGTCCAGTCCCGTAACAGGCAAGATGATCCTAATTCTCTGCAGTCATGCACAGTATTCCTATCAACTCTACCATGCAGAAAGCTCCCCATCTGTCACATAACTTTCTAGGATGACATCTTAGAATAGGAACTACAGGGCTAAATAAATTGTGTAATTTAAAAAAAAAATTATTCTTTATGTGTATGTATTGCCTACATGTATGTATGTAAATGCACTCATGTAGTGCAATGCCTATAGAGGTCAGAAGAGGGCATCAGATCCCCTGGAACTGCAGTTAAGGACAGTTGTTAGCTGCCATGTAGGTGCTGGGATTCAAACCTGGGTGTTCTGCAAGAACATTCAGTGTTCTTAACTGCTGAGCCATCTCTCCAGCCCCTAAATGGTTTATTTTTAAGGAGTTTGAAGACATGTCTTGTAAAACTTCCTACAGCACAGTACAACAGCCTGCTCCACCATGCTACACGGTATGCCTATATATCCTCCCCCAGCAGGCTCAGCACACACTGGCCACACATACCAGGGATTCTTGGCCAAGATGTCACAGGCCTTGTACATCAAGGTTGTGAACACGGCTTTGTCTGTCAGGATGTCTTCCCTATTCTAGTGTCATCTAGCTCTCTGTCATGGCACATGTTTCTCCATCCTGTCTCCAACAAGGCTGCTCTTCTCCATTCTGGGAGTGGACATGGCCTCTCTCAGGGTTGGTATGCCCTTGAGTGGCCCACTTCCAGCTCTGGCAAAGAAGAGCAAGAGAGGGGACCCTTGAACACCCTGTGGACCAGGCTCCAGCATTTGGTCCCCTGCAGTGTGGTGCTGGCTGCACCAGGGTAGACGGACAGAGCACACTGTTCTCACAGTGATGGGGGAAAGCCAAACCCTGCCTGCAGAGGAGCAAAGCAGCTTGGAGAAGCTCTGTGGCTGCACCTGAGTTATAAATAGAATGTCTGGACCACTAAGGACCCAAAGTATCCTAGTCCACCCTTCACCCCATTAAGACCTAAACAAGGAGATGGGCAAGTGCTAGAGGGGACAGCCTGGTGTCCCTGCTAGCTAGTTTAACACCTATCATTATATAACAAGTAACTCTGAGGCCTCAACTAAACGAGCCCCTTGACAACAATGTGCACGAAGAAAGCTAAGTTGCCACATAAGGAAATCCACAGCTGTCCAACGTTCCTTGCTAACCCACCCCACGGGAAGTCGAATACACAGGCAGTTTCCATAGTAGTAAAATATTTTTATTATAATGGTAAGACAAGAAAAGTAAAGATTTGTTTTTGGCGTATACAGAGCTGAAGGTAGAATAAGGGGTTAATAGGATTTTTATGTATTTTTGACCATAAAAAGTTAACATCAACTGTTTGCCATAAAATGCATCATAGCTCCCCCAAAACACATATATAAAGGATCATAATTTTAAAATCTATAAAAGTAAAAAATATACAGTGGGACGCTCTAACGCTTATTTCATCTTCAATATAAAATTGTAAACATTTATTTACACAAAGCACATGTGTATGAGAAAGTCCGAGCACCCTTTTCTTCTGAGTCATGGCTCTGGGAAGAGGGGGATGTGTGCTAAGCTGTCACCTCTTCCCAACTCCCCAAAACCAGATTCATAAATAAAGCCGTGGGCAGCTCTGTGGGAAGACCCCAACAATCACATTTTATTGCTATGACACTGCAGCAAGTGAGCCGCCTACTGCCTGTGTGGCTGGCCCAGGCCTAAGGCAGGGTGCTGGGGCCTGTGAGCGCCCTTGGGGGGGACAGAGGCAGGAGGTGGGAAGCAGCCACAGGAGGCCAGAGGAGGAACTAGGGTCCATTACCAGCCTTCGGCCCTATTTTTGGTAGAGAATAGCTGAAGTCACTCACCCTCTTCCCCTGCGATTGGGGAACCTGGCAAGAGGGTGGAGTCTTCACTCGCATTATGATTCACCTCCTTCTCTGAGAGCTGAATTGAATGTCTGGGGAAGGCAGGGAGGGTGGTTGAAAGGGGAAATGGCCCGCACACCACCAGTGGTGGCAAATGGCTATAGAGACAAAGACCTGAGAGCACAGGTACCCTCAAAAAAGGCACTGCCGGTACAAACTGGCTACCTCCATGTGCCCACCCTTCATCCTCCAGGCTGGTCGTGTAATTTCCTTGGCTCAGTTCCTTACCCGGTACTCCTTGGTCTGAGACCTCAGGGAAACAGGCAGAGCTGTGGTTTCTCCCCTCTTCAGCAAACTCCTTTCCCTCCATCCTGTGTTAAAAGGTCTCACTCTGTGCTTACCATCGTGCAGCTGAGGTGGACAAGTGCTTGCTCTTGCTTTCTGTGGTAGCCCACGTGTCATACTCTAGTCTGCGGGTTCTCTGCTCAGACAAGTCCATCAACTAATAGACCTTCAAAGAGAACTCACTTGAATCTTTAGAAAGGATGAGTTAGTGTTATAAAGCCATCTTTAAAAGTGCAAGTCACCTGATGTAGGAGGAGCAGATATCTGGCAAACAAAGTGTAATTCCTTGCCCTGGGCTGGCCTGCAGCCTTCTTTCCCCAAACCTTTACAACATGAGGAGTTCCTAAGGGAACTTTTCCTCTTTCTTTTCCTCTTCCAATGTAGTAAATCACTGTTTCCCATTTTAGCCAAGAGAGGACGAAGGGGAGGCAGAAAGAAAGGTTGTAGGAAATGCTGACAGGGTTGAGGAAAAGACATCTGTGCACAACTGAAGACTGACAATACTTCTATCATGTTAAATATATTTCAGGTTGATGGAGAAACTGCAGAAGGCTGGGACTCAGAACCCACAAGGATGCCAGAGCCCAAATCTCCACTTTCAGTATTTGGCCATGCCAGGGGCCTGGCTGTTCTCAAGACTGAGTGGCAACTAGGAAAGACAACTTTGGGAAGGAGAGGCTTTGCAGGGCTCAGTCGCCATCTTTTTTTGGCTTCTGCAGTCATAGCCTGTGCTTATGGCAGTGATTTCCAGTGACCCTGAAAGCTGAAAGAGCAGGAATAAAAAACGGCTCTTAATCAAAAGGAAACTCCAGGTTTCCAGTGCCATTTATCAGTATAAACCACCACCTATCCTAATCAGTTTGAAAACCTTAAGCTTAAAAAAATTACTTTTATGCTAAAAATGAAAATAATTCTATTTAAATTTTCAACAAAAATTTGTCCCCAGCCTTGAGGCAAGTGGAGAAATCTCGGGCCAAACACAATGCACAGATTTTGATAAGCCTGAATGGAAGGGCTTCATTGTTAGTACTGGTTTGTGGTCATCTGGGTAGAAAACACCTTTCATACCCCTATCCTGCTATCTCAATCCCAGGCAATGATGGTGATGGACTGGGCCAGCCCGAAGGACCACAGCTGCTGGCTCAGGAGCCCAACAGATCCTGACCAGAGTTGGCCTCTGCTATGGCTTGGGCTCTACTGGTCCAGCTTCCTGGGCCATGGGCTTTTGGTCCAAAGTAGTTACTCTTTGTTGAATCTGAGAACAAAAAATACAAGATGTCTGAACACTGAAAATACTACACAAATCCCTTCGTTACTGAGACCCTAAAAAATCATCCAGCTCATTCATCCACTCTTCAGAAGTCCTGTTCTTCAGCAGTGAGTCAATCAGGTCGGTGTGTCCAGCCACACTGGACAGCCCACTGCTGCCTGGTTGCCCGCTGTAGGCAAAGGGCAGCTCCTGGCCCATGGTCCGTACAGGGTAGCCCTGGGTGCAGTGCAGTCCTGCCCGGCTGCTCATCTGTGAAGTGGGGCTCTGGCTGAAGGCCCCCAGGTCAGGCCCTGCTGGGCTGAGACCAGGTAAGCCCTGCTGTGGGGCTGCCTGAGGAGGTGCAGATGCAGGTACACTGTTTCTCTGCTGTGTGCTCACCGGAGGTAGCATGGACCCTGCTGCACCTGCAGAGCTCATGGGGGCCATGGGCCTGCTGGGCATGGCTTGGGAGTACTGCGGGCCAGAGATTTTCAGGTGGGCCTGCTGCATGTGGAAAGTGGAGGCTGCAGTGAAGGGGCTTATGTTGCTGTTCCCTGGCGTTTGGTTGCTCAGGTTTGGCATTCCCTGATGTTGCCATGAGGCATTCTGGCTACCCATGGTTGCTGACACCCTTGGGACTTGTGGCTTTGTTAAACCAGGAGTCAGGGTCCCCTTATTGTGTTGCTGGGAGAGGCCAGAGCTTCCCAGAGAGTTTTGTCCATAGGCAGCTGGAACCGAGCTGTTCTGGCCCACGTTGGTCTGCCGTGGAATGTGGGCATGTCCACTGGTGGCCTGTGGTGGAGGCTGGGCAACTATCTGGGCTAGGCCGGAAGCCATACCATAGAGGCTGCTCTGAGGCATGCTCTGGGATCCAGTAAACTGGGCCACACTCCGGTCTTGCTGGCCTGAGTTGGAGGGGAGGGAGGAAACAGAAGCATGTCCAGGGCCCATTGGCATCAGATTCCCAGGCTGAGGGAACACTCGAGGACAGCTGGAGTTAGATGGACCCAAGCTGTTCATGCCAGGCACAGCAGCAGCAGTTCCTAGAAGACAGAAGAGCCTGTCAATCAAGTTGGCACACTTTCTTTCTTTACATACATATATTTATTAGTGTGTATACGCGTGCGTGCGCGCATGCCATGGCATTCATGTGGAGGTCAGAGAACAACTTATGGGAGCTGGTTCTTTCCTTCCATCATGTGGATCCCAGGGATCAAAATCAAGTCGTTTGTTTGGTGGCAAATGCCTTTAGTTGCTGATTGATCTTGCTGGTCCAAGTTGGCATTCATCTTTTTTTTTTTTGGAACAGGGTCTCACTGTGTATTCCTGGCTGACCTGGAACTTGCTACGTAGGTCTCGATCTCACAGAGATCTACCTGCTTCTGCCTCCCAAGTGCTGGGATTAAGACTGTACCACCACGTCCAGCCTCAAGTTGGCACTCTTTTTTATTTTTATTTATTTATTTTGGTTTTTTGAAACAGGGTCTTCCTTTAGCCCCAGCTGGTCTGGAACTCGCTATATAAACCAGGCTGGCGTTGATCTCACAGAGATCAGCCTACCTCTGCCTCCTGAGTGCTGGGATTAAAGGCATGTGCCACCATGCCCAGCAAGTTGGCATTCTTTACTGTCACTGTGGAGACAACTCTGAGACCCAAGTTGTAGCTCCTCTTTCACAGGTATGCAAGGTAGCACCCTAACACTAGGGTAGTAATACACTGCCAAGAAGACAATCCAGGGTCAGAGGATGGAGGCCAGGTCTGGAACAATGAGAGGATTCAGAGAGAAAGAGGAGGAAGGGGTAGAGCATGAGAGAATAAAGGCCAGTTGTCTTGTCCATTTACCTATTAAGATCTACCCCCCCAAATTTTTCTCAGTTGGGATCTAGCTAGGTGCTAGGGATTTCAAGACAGATCACTCCATCCAAGTTCTGTCCCACTGGGTGTGACAGAGTCAAAGCCTGAGCAGCAGGCTACAGGAACACAGGGGTCTGAGGACTTGATGCTCAAGAAGATTCGGGAACATCTTCAAAGAGAGGGTGACAAGCATGTTAGGGGATGAGAATTGTATTCAGGACTAGTGGTGTCGGTCATGCACAAGGCCCTGGATTCAATCCTCAACACTATACTACACACACACACACACACACACACACACACACACACATTTGGCATATTAATAGTTCAGAGACCAGGTGTAATGATGTATGTCTTTAATCTTAGCACTGGGAGGCAGAGGCAGGTGGATCCCTGTGAGTTCAAGGCCAGCCTGGTCTACATAGTGAGTTCCAGGACTACATAGGGAAACTGTGTGAAGTAAAAAAAAGTTAGAGAAGAACATTCAAAGCAGAGAAAAGTATAAAGGAACAGAGTCTGTGGGGAAATTAAGAATCCAGCCAGCCATGGATAGGGCATGGGGACAGTATCTAGCAGGTTAGAGCTAAGACAAAACAGGGCTGGGGATATAGCTTAGGGTACAGTGCTTGCCTAGAATGCCCAAGCCCCTAGATTCAATTCCTAGTATTCCAACACAGGCATGGAGACACATACCTGTAATCCTAACACCTGTGAGGTAGAGGCAGGAGGATCAAAAGTTATAGGTAATCAATGAGTTTAGGGCAAATTCAACAGCAGCCTGAACTACATGGAACTCAGGAGAGAGAAGGAAAGGGAGAGAGAGAGACACAGAGAGAAGCACTACATTGGCAAGACTGAGAAGGGCTGGGAATGGCATGTTAAGAGCAGGGTAGTAAAGCCTGAGGCTGTGGTTTAGTTCTGCTGGGGAAAGCCTGTTTATATCTCACTAGATCCTATTGCTTATCACAGGTGACAAGGTGGTCGAGGGAGGCAGAAATCCAGCATGGAATCACCATATGTTTACTCATCACCAGCCTTTGAAACTTGCTGTCTTCCTTTCCTTCCTTCCCTTTGTGTGTATGTGCAGAGATGCACATACTTGTGGAAGCCAGGTCAACTTTGAGACAGGATCTCCCATTGGCCTGAATCTCATTAAGTGACCTAGGCTGGCTGGCCAGTGAGCTCCAGGGATCTGTCTTTCTTCCCAGTGCTTGGGTCATGGCAAGCCTTTACCAACTGAGCCATCTCCCGAGTCCTTCTCTTTTCTTTTTGGAAACAGAGTTTCCTGACATAGACCTATGTAGCTGGCCTGGACTCACAATTCTCCTGTCTCTGTCTCCCAAGTGCTGGGATTACAGGTATGCAACACCACGCTTGGCTGAACTTTGCTGGGATTACAGGTATGTAACACCACGTTTGGCTGAACTTTGCTGGGATTACAGGTATGCAACACCATGTTTGGCTGAACTTTGTTGTCTCTAGCTTCTGGCCTGAGCAATGGACACATGGTGACACCATTCACCAAGACAGGTTTCTCTGGGTACTGAAGTCATTGTTCAAGGACTGGCACAGCTTAGTGTTTTATCTTCCTCTTCTCTCCATAAGCACCAAAATAAAAACTGGGCTGAAGAAAAGAGAGCTGAAACACCTAACTTCACTCCTTTTGACAGCTTGTACCAGTGTGGCATGGGATGAACAGGAAACCCAGGCCAGACAGAGGCTCCTGGGACACCTGTAGGCTTCAACTTCATGTTCCCATCCAGCATATATGGGAAACCCTACTAGTTTCCTCTAGGACATGGCTGTGGTCAGTTTCTTGGGACACTTTACTGTCAAGAAAAGAGACAAGTTTCTAAGATCACCCAGTAAGAGCTAGGAAGGTAAAATCAGACCTGTATCTGTCAGCTGAAATCTATGCTCTTTTGGAATGGCAGCCCAAGCAAGTTACTCACACATCTCAGAGCTGAAGGGTGAGACTTCAGTGTGTGGCTGCCCTCTCCTGTCCATAGCTGTGCTGCCACCTATGGCACCAAAGTGCACAGACAGGAGGAGAGAAGCCAAGCAAAAGCTAGGGTGTGTTACACCTTCCATCCCAGAAATTCAAGAGGGATGGCCTTGAACTCCTGACCCTCCTGTCTTCACCTCCCAGGCGCTGCAGTTTTAGGCAGTGCCACCACACTCAGCTTGCTAAGAATGATTTTTTGAAGTGGCATATGAACAACTGTCTTAAGACTTACACACACCATTTCCTACCAACAAGACGCCACCTAACTAAAGATATTTTGCTTCAGAGAACTGCACACTAGGGACTAGAGAAAGCTTTTCTGACAGTATACCCTGGCTTGCGACCTTCTTCTGATGCCACAGGCCTCTTCTACAAACCACAACTTCTATGAGCAAGTAAATTCATTCTGTACCCAATACTAGGCAGGGAACAGGAAGTCAATCAACACCAGACCAATGAGCTGAGCTATACCAACCTGTATGACCAAAGCCTGCTGTTCATCCTCTTACCTGTGAACTGTCCGACCTGTTGTGGGAAGGTGCTTTGTGTAGGGTCTTGGTATTGAGGAGGTGGGCGAGTCAGATGGCGCTGAAACTGTTGCTTCTCCTAGAAAGTATCAAGAACAAGCAAAACAATAAAACTCAATGTAAGTGTAAAGTGGAATCAAATGAGTAGTGTCAGGTCACAGAAAAGCAAGGTACACAAGACTGTTGCTCACAGATGGATTTCTGTGGGTCAGGGGCATGGCGAATGACTGCCTGGGCATCCAGTCTGTTTTGGGTGATGAAATGGGGTTATGTAATGATTGCACAGCTCTGTAAATACAATGGAAACCAGTGAAGTGTTCAGTTTAAATGGGTGAATATTATGTGCTATAAATTATATCCTAATAAAATTATTTTTTTAAAAGGTGAAGGGGCTGGAGAGATGGCTCAGTAGTTAAGAGCACTGGCTGCTCTTGCAGAAGACCTGGGTTTAGTTCCCCGCACCCACATGGCTGCTCACAAACACTGTAACTCCAGTTCAAGGGGATCCAATACCTCCTCTGCCCTCCAAAGGCAATGCATGTATGGGTGCACCTACATCCATGTAGGCAAAACACTCATTCATATAAAACAAAAGTAAATAAACCTTTTCTTATTTTTAAAAAATACTTTGTTATTTTTATTTTATGTGTATGAGTATATTGCCTGCATGTGTGAAAATGCATCCGTGTCATGCAATGCCTGATGGGGTAAGAAGAGGGTGTCAGGTCTCCTGGAACTGGAGTTACAGATGGTTGTTAGTGGCCACGTGGGTGCTGGGAATTTAACCTGGGTCCTCTGCATGAGAAACCAGTGCTCTTAATCGCTGAGCCATCTCTCCAGTCAAAACCTTTTCCTAAGACAGTCTCACTATGTAGCCCTTGCTGGCCTGGAACTTAGTAGGCAGACCAGGGTGGCCTCAAACTCAGAGATTTGCCTGCCTCTGCCTCCCAAGTGCTGGGATTAAAGGCATGTGCCACCATACCTGGCTAGATAAAGTTTTCTTTAAATTAACTCATTTTAAAAAATTTATGTATATGAGTATTTGCCTGCATGTATGTAAGTACACCCAAGTCATGCAATACCCACAGAGGCCAGAAAAGTGTCAGATCCCCTGGAACTGGATTATGAGGTGCCATGTGGGTGCTGGGAACCAAATTTTGGTCCTCTGCAAAAGCAGCCAGTGCTCTTAACGACTGAGTCATCTCTCCAGTCCTAAAAATAAATCAATCTTTTAAAAAAATTAAAATATGGTGGAACTGAGTCAATGAGCAACCTCAATCGTGTGCTCTCTGGAGTTGGTTCTTGTCTTCTTTATCTCTGTGTATGTCTGTGTAGGCATAGCGTGCATGTAGAGGTCAGAGGACAAACTTGGATGTGGGTCCTCATCTCCTACCTTGTTTTGAGTCAGGGTTTCTTTTTGTTCGTGACTGTGTACCAGGCTAGCTGGCCCATGAGCGAGCATCAAGAGGGTCTTCCATCTTGACACTTGAGCCCTGGGGTTACAGATCTACAATACTACATCCAGTTTTATACTGTGTCCTCAGTTATATGAACCTGAACTCAGGTCTTCACATTTGCAGTACACTGCATTTCACCCACAAAGCCATCTCCCCAGCTTCTCTTTTCTTTCTTGAACTTCACTTCCTTTTCCATCTTCTGGTTCCTAACAAACCTCAAAGTTACAACAGAGCAGGGACCCACAGCCTCTGATGGCATATGTACATGGTAACGCAGAAGTTATTGACCAGCAACACAGGAGAATGCTCCTTACATATATAGATTCTCACTTTATTAATCCCCAGTAACTGATACAAAGTGTATTCTGACACAGGTCACCTGCCTAAGAAACACTACGTCTTTTTTTTTTTTTTTTTTGGTCTTTTTCAGACAGGGTCTCCTTGTAGCCCCAGCTGTCCTGGAACTCACTATGTAGACGAGGCTGGCCTTGAACTCACAGAGATCTGCCTGCCTCTGCCTCCCAAATGTTGGGATTAAAGGCGTGCACCACCATGCCCAGTTAATATTTATTTTTTAATAATAAACATATGTGTGTGCATCTATATGAGTTTATTTCCACCATGTACAGAGGGTGTTGGATCTCCTGAAACTGGAGTTATAAGTGGTTGTGAACCACTTGATGTGGGTGCTGGGAACCAAATCTGGGTCCTCTGGAAGAGCAATATACATTCTTTTTTTTTTGAGACACGGTCTCCCTGTAGCCCCAGCTATGGAGAACAGGCTGGCCTTGAACTCACAGAGATCCACTTGCCTCTGCCTCCTGAGTGCTGGAATTAAAGGCGTGCGCCACCACGACCAGCTTGCGATATATATATTCTTAACTGCTAATCCATTTCTTGAGCCCTACTAAGCCCTAATATGTTTTTGATTTATCTTTTTCCTTTGAGACAGGGTCTCCAATGATGTAGCCTTGGCTCGCTTGAAACTTGCTATATAAACCAGACTGGTCTCCAACTTGACTTACCCATTTTTGTTTTGTGTATATGGATGTTTTGCTTATAGGTATGTAAGGGCATCACATGTGTACAATGCCTGTGGAAGTCAGAAGAGGGCAATGGATTCCCTGGAACTAAAGTTATGGTTGTTATTAGTCACCGTGTGGATGATGGGACTCTGGGTCCTCTCTAATAGCAGCCAGTGCTCTTTGTACCAAGTGCAAGCCATGGTATGGGCATGAAGGTCAGTGGACAACTTTGTGGAGTTGATTCTCTCCCCCTACCTTTACGTTGGTTCTGAGGATCAAACTCAGGTCACCAGGCTATCATGACAAACACTCTACCTGCTCAATCATCTTGCTGGCCCCAAATGGGGATTTTAAAGGACACTGCACTCTGACATTGGGCACGGGAGTAAGTCAGTGCAAATCCAAGGTGCAAGTGGCACCTGTGTGGTTTCCTTCTGCCTTTCTTGGTACCTGCTCGGCCAGAAGGTGCTGTCTCTGCAGGAACTGCTGCTGCTGCAGGTGCTTTTGCTGCTGCTCCCTCTGCTTCTGCTGGTCCAAGAGCAATTGGTGTTGCTTCATCACAGCTGCCTGCTGCTGGCTGCTGAGATATGGGGGGTTGCTGTGAGTGCTGGCCACGGACACAGCTGGAGGCTGGGTCCCCACACTGGCAGCTTGGGCTGGCACAGGGACACTCGAAGAGTTCTGCTCCTGTGAACACAGACAAAGGGATCCAAGTCAGGTGGGATAGGTGACATGTCTGAGCCCTGATAGACAGGTAAGTTGTACCCAATGATAGTCTTATTCACAGTTCTTGTTTTCTTTTCTTTTCTTCCCCCCACCTCCCCTCCCC